AATAAACTTTTACAGCAACTCCACTGTCCATTTTGGATCCTTGAGTGGAAATAAGAGCTTTGGCTTTTACTTAAGGTTTGAATACTCATTACCTGAGCCATTCGCTTTCACAAATGAAAAGAGAAATTTGAGCAATAGGGCTCTCCATCTCAAATGTCGTTGCCAGGCAGGATTTATTGGGTGCTCAGATATAACTCGGACCAGAATGGGCTGCAAAGCACACATATAAAATCATAGGATCTCAAAGCGTCAGACAAATAATTTATGCAAGTCTCATGGTCAGAGACTCAATTACTCTTTTTTTTTTTTCTGAAAAACAATCTGAAGGGTTTGAAGAGGTGGGGGGATGGGAGGTTGGGGGAACCAGGTGGTAGGTATTAGAGAGGGCACAGACTGCGTGGAGCACTGGGTGTGGTACAAAAACAATGAATACTGTTATGCTGAAAATAAATAAAAAAATGATTTAAAAAAAAGAGACTCAATTACTCTTAAGAGGTTTCCCAACTGAATCTGTAATTTTATTATTCCCCATGAGTCTCATGGACATTGTTCAGCCAACTTTTCACCAAAATAAATAAAGGGAATAAAGCCTTTGAGCTGAATCCAACTGCCTGTTTTTGTAGATATAGTTTTTTTTTTTTAAACAGTTTATTTATTTGAGAGAGAGAGTGTGAGTGAGTGCAGAAGCAGCAGGGAGAGTCAGAGAGAGAAAGAGAAGCAGACTCTCCACTGAACAGGAAGCCCTACGTGGGGCTTGATCCCAGGACCCTGGTATCATGCCTTGAGCCAAAGGCAGATACTCAACTGACCAAGCCAGCCAGGTGCCCCTGTAGATATAGTTTTATTGGAACATGGCCACACCCATTTGATGTATTATCTATGGCTGCTTTCATGCATCAACTTCAGAACTGAGCAGGTTGGACAGAGACTATATGGTATATAAAACCTAAAACGTTTATTACCTGAAACTTTATAGAAAATGCTTGCTGAACTTTGGTCTAGAATATGATAATTTCTATTTCATTTCAAGTTGGTTTTGCTTAGCAGCATTGGGGAAATTTGCTTATTTCCTTCCTTCCTTCCTTCCTTCCTTCATTCCTTCCTTCCTCCTTTCTTTTTTCTTTATTAAGGGCTAAGAGAAATTTAGAGAATGAGCAATCTGGGAAGAGCTGTGAAACAAATGGTCTCATAGGATTATAGGAGAGTTCTTTACTATCATGCTGGTGGTATATGTCCTTAATCATTCCCTTACTTGTATAAATAAAAAAATAACAAAATGCTTCAAACATACAGAAAAGTACAAAGACTAATGTAGCAAATACCATCACCCTGATTCTATAGATCTTAAAAAACTCTTCATTTTTAAAAGGAAACAAATAAAATATTACAGATATGATGGAAGGCTTATTTCTACCCTTCTTTTTTAAAAAAGATTTTATTTTTAAAATTTCTTTTCAGTGTTCCAGAATTCATTGTTTATGCACCACATCCAGTGCTCCATGCAATATGTGCCCTCCATAATACCCACCACCAGGCTTACCGAACCTCTCATCCCCCTCCTCTCCAAAACCCTCAGTTTGTTTCTCAGATTTTATTTATTTGAGAGAGAGAGAGTGAGCACAAGAGGGGGAGGGGCAGAGGGAGAAGGGGAAGCAGACTCCCTGCTGAGCAGGGAGCCCGATGTGGGGCTCAATCCCAGGACCCTGGGATCTTGATTTGAGCCAAAGGCATACACTTAATTGACTGAACCACCCAGGCTCCCTTATATCTACCCATCTTGATCCCATTTCCTTCTTTCTTAAAAGTTATACATGTCTTAAACTTACTGTATTTTCCTCTGGTCTGCTTTTATATTTTTACTACCTATATATGTATATTTATATAACCATAAGGAATATAATGTGTGTTAAAATTTTTGCTCTCCCCACTTTTGAAACTATAAGAAAAATGGGACAGTGGTATTTAAGAAAGTCTAGAGTGGAAAAGCCTCCATAATCCCATGACTCTAGTACAGATATTTCATATTGTGTCTTTGCCCATATGTGTGATTTCTTTTACAGAATTGCAGTCAGAATGTATATACCATTTGTCATCTTTCTTCCCCATCTTAGCATCAAACTTATACATTTTTCCATGTTTCCATCTTCAAAATTATTATTTTGGGGGGATGTGGAACTTAATGATTGATATATAATTTTCAGCAAGACATTTAGAAATCTTCTGGTGGACCAAAAGCTCTCAACAGTGGTCACCGTTGGTCCAAGTGATGGAAGTAAGGACACTTTTACTTTTTAGTGTATAACTTTCTGGGCTGTTTTCCACCCCCCTGACTATATTCATAAGTTATTTTATTTTAAAAGTAAGTAAAAAATGTTTTTTTTAATGATAAAAGATCTTGTTCTCTGCAGAAAAAATTCCAGAAAAGAGAAATTTTACCTTTTAGTGTTGTGGGAAAGTCACTGGATTTGGACATAAAGAGCCAGATTTTAGCTACTGAGTTTGTCATTAATTTTGTCTCTCTCATCTGTAGAGTGGAGCCAATATATTTGTCCTATTACCTTGTCTTGGGGATCAAAACAAAGAATGTACCTGAAAACATTTGGTAAACTATAAAATTCCCTGGTTATGGGGGAAAAAATCCTAGTGAAGCAGATAAAGCTTGGGCACCTAAGATTCAAAGACTAGTATCAGAGCACCTGGGCTTATGTGAGTTTAGGTATGGCACAGTATCCCGAGGCACTCCTCCTGGTTTTTAGAGTTCTAAGGGAAGAATTTACTCCTGAGGTTAGATGTGTAATCAATAAATGGGACCCCTTTAAATGAAATAACTTTTTTTTTTATTTTAAAGAGGCGTGGAGGGGAGGTTGGGTCCAGCATTATGAATACTCATTCCAATTCCTATGGCTCAGTGTGCAGACACAGGATAGAGTGGCCATTTCACCTTTAGCAAAGCTGATGTGCAGCTGGAGGTCCTTTCTTCCTCTCTGGCTGTAGAGGATAGGATGGAACAGATCCAGGACCTGGGAGGGGAATGCTTTCTTTGGCTACAGGGCTTTCCCACTTCCAGCCACTGAGTATCATAAGCACTCAGAGTCAGAGCTTCTTACTTTAAAGATGAGAACACAGAGACATGGAGAGGTGAAATGTTTTATCTAAGGTCAGGCCTATAATAGCAGCACTGGTGTTACAACCCAGGTCCTCTGACCACTAGCTTTGTGTGTATGTGTGTGGTTTCTTTCTAAGTCACCTTTTGACTCTGCATCTCCTCCTCCACCAAGAAAGACAATGATATTAGGTCTCCTGGGGCTAGAGAATCTGCAGGAGAGCTAAGATACCAGTCATCAGGAGACCTGTCTTGGGAGAGGGAGTTGTGCATTAGCATATAAGCTTGGAGTTGGTGTGAGGCAGTCTCTCTGCCAACTCATAGAGTCAGGGAATAGGAGATGTGATTGGTGGGGAGCTGAGCCACTGGAGGGCCCCAAGGAGCTTAAGGAGGTGGAGGTGGGGAAGCTGAGATTGGAGAGGAGATGCAAGGGCATCATTCCCAGGGTTATGACCTGGTGGCCCTTTACACACGCTGAAACATATTAGGTTTTATGCAACAAAACAGCTTGTTCATTGCATCTAGGGGAGGTCTATTTTCTTTCATACTTAGCAATTTGGAAATAAAAGATTTACCATGATCATCCCTTAATACTACCTGTCCTGGTAGTATTTTGGAGCTGCTATGAAAATTCATTTTGGGTGATTCTGGTACTTTGTTTGGTTTAAATTAGCAACTCACCATCCTGTCAGGTAGAAGGTTTTTTTTTTTTTTTAATGGGATTATATGAGGCAGGGAGGAGAAAGAGAACTGCATCAAGAACATAACTGGTGAATTTGGGGTGAAGAGGAAACGTTTCTTTCTAAAGTTTCATGAGATAATCTAGATAAAAGCACCTAGAATCAAGCCTGCCATATGGTGATGTTCTTGTTGTGTTTGAGTCAAGGTGGACTCCATTTGGGTTGAGAAGATAAAACTGATGTTGCTGAAGTTTCTCTCCATTCCAGAGTATGGGTGGGTTTTCCTTCTCATGGACTCTTTAGTACCTGTTTTTGGGAATAGATCTAATAAACCTTTGCACACTGAGGTGTAAATGATGGAGAATAGCTTAGATCAGCAGTCTACAAGTGGGTTAGGAGGAACCTCAAGGTGTTAATAGTTATTCCTTGGCAAACAAAGTTCTATAGTTAAATAAGTTTGTGAAGGGTCATTTACCATGTTACCCTCCTGGGAATTCATAGTACATACTGTATATTAAAGGCTCAGGGGAGTTGTGTAGTGAGGAAACTGTCTTAACTTTGCTTAATCCAGCTTTTTACAGATATCTGACTAGGGAATCCTTTTCTTCCCCCCCTTGGGATATCTATTATCATCTTGAATAAAGCCTGTTGAGAAACTTAGGAATAGAACATAACTCTGAGGTGCTTCTGTGTTTTTTTTTATTAAAAATTTTTTTTTCTGGTAAGAACACTTAACATGCCATCTATCCTTTTGACAAATTTTAAGTGTAAAATACATTGTTGTTGACTATAGGCACAGTGTTGTGTGGCAGATCTCTAGAGCTTATTCATTTTACTTAACTGAAACTTCATGCCTGTTGATTAATAATTCCCCATTTCCTTCTCCCCTCAGCCTCTGGTATTCACCATTCTAGTCTTTGATTATACAAATTTAAGTGTTTTAGATACCTTATATATGTACTTGTCTCTCATATTCTTATCCAGAGATAAAAATATGGACCTTTAGTTGGGGGATTTAACCAAAGGGCAAGAGGGGTGTGAACCAACATTGGGCCCAGAAATCACAGGCATTGACAATACTCAGGAGACATCTTCTGCTACTTCCTTCAAGTTTGCCTCTTTGTCTTTGCAGCTGAAGTGCCTCAACCAGGCTCTAGGTGCAGCCTGCAGCCAGCTGGCCTCCTTCACCCCTAACTCTGCCTCTTCTCTTCTTCTAGGCAGACATCTTTTCTGGGGCCATATTTATCAACATGGCCTTGGGTCTGGATCTGTACCTGGCCATCTTTCTCTTATTGGCAATCACTGGCCTTTACACAATCACAGGTGAGTCCATACAAATGACTCAGCCAAAGCCCAGGAAAGGAGAAGGAAGTAGGAGACATAGCTTTTCCTCTTGAGGAAGAGAGATACATCCAGGAAACAGTTTTAGGATGGAGTGTTTGCTTAGTCTCAATGCTTAGACCCTAACAAGTTATATGGGGACCCCAGAAAACTCTAGTGTTGGCTGGAATAGTCAGTGTAACTTCTTCTAGGAAGTGTGGCTGGGACTGGCCTTCCAGGTTGTGGCTAGAAGTTGGTTGAGTTGGGAGAATCAGAGAGGGAGTGCCAGGTGCAGGGATGGGGAGAGCAAAGGAATGGAGTCAGGAATGGGCATGGCATGGCGCTGGGGCAGGGTGAGCAAGCAGGTGCATTTAGTTGGAGAAGGGTGGCCAATGGGAGGTAGCTGAGGTGTGTGTGGAGTGATAAGTTCAGGTAGTTCAAAAGAGGTCACATGCAGGGAGTTTGGAAGCCAGAAGAAGGCCTTGGGTTTCATGAGATAGGCACTGGCAGGCACTGTAGGCGGGAAGGGAGGGAGTGATGCACAAAAAAAGAGATTTTAGAGGAAGACTTGAGAGGTGACTAGAGAAGCTGGTGACAGGAATAGCAGTTGGGGTGTTACTCTGCTCCTGATAGTGGGCCCAGGGTCAGCAAGGGAATTTACTGCCCAACTGCAGCCCCACAGCTTTGGGGACAAGAAGGTACTTAAATGGTCTGAGTAAAGAGAGAGCAGACATGCATGGAAGTAGCTCTTCAAAAAGTGCTGATTCATTAACACCCAAACACCCTGTAGAGATGGACTCTCTTTGCTCTTCCTTGCCTTTGTGGGAGAAAGTTCTTACCAGAGCCATCTCCTTTGCGCCTTCTTCTGCCTTCAGTCACATCAAACTCTTCCTCAAATAGGGAGAAACATTCTCCTTTTTCCAAGGTCTTCTCAGCATTTCTGTGAAAAGTAAAGGTATAGAAACATGTTGGGTAGTAGATTGCTATAACAAGACAAGGGAGGAAAGGAAAGAAAGGCAGACAGGTGACTGAGGGGTGTGCTCAGAGGATGTGCAGAGGGAGAGGGCCAGGGAGTGGGCAAAAGACAGACACAGGTGTTCCTCCTACATGAGGTCACATGTATTATTTCCTTTGCCTGTTTAGGGGGCTTGGCAGCTGTGATTTACACGGACACTTTGCAGACGGCGATCATGCTGGTGGGGTCTTTTATCCTGACTGGGTTTGGTAAGTGAGGCTGGGGCAGGCTGAGGAGGCAGGGAGGCAGAAGCAGAGGCCGAGGGAGAAAAAAAGCAAGTGTAGCATCCTTGCTTGCTGCTGGCCCAGGCAGTGAGCTGGGTATCCTCTGCCCTCCCTAGGGAAGTGGTCAAGCCTGGATTGCCTACCATAGTGAATGTCTGGGGGCAATTTCCTCAGCCCTGGAGAGCTCAGTCTGGGCCAGGCTCAGGCAATACCTGGTCCCTGCTGCCCTCTCTAGATGAACTGAGCCACTAGTCCTCAATGTGGACCTCTGATGTCATGGTCTGCTCTCCATGGAGAAACTGGACAAAAAAGGGATATGTCTAAATATGCATCAGGCTAAATATATTCAATGTTGTATCTTAAACCTTAGATTACATCTTATCTACATTTGATGTTAAATGTCCTTTATTTTATGAATTGATGATAGTAAGTGATCATTTTCTTGTTTATGTCCTTACTTGACAAAATTTAAACAATTAGCCAGTCTATATTGACCCCTGACCCCAACTTTGAAATTTTATTTGTCTATAAAAATCCTAAAGACAAGACTGGAGACCCTAGATCTAGAGATACTAATTATGGGAGAATCTAAAATGCATTTTGTTTTTTTAATAGGGCTCATACTCTCTGTGGATCCTGTGAAGCCTCTTATCTACTCTTTATTCCTTGTTTCCAAGAGCTTCCATTTGGTTTTCCCCAGTGACGATGGTGGTGGTAGTGGGGTCTGCAGGCTAGAATGACTTATTCAAGGGCACACAGCAAAGAGGTGGTAGGGCTCTAGACTCCTCCCCCTTTCTCTGTCTATCCTACCACACTTCTGTGACCAGGGATGGTATGGCTGAATCTGTGGATCTCCAGGTTGCTGTGCAGGATTTTAAAGGCTGCTGCTGACAGTGAAGTGTGAGGGGAAAAACATCTTTGAGTCTTCAAAACCAAAGTCTCTCTTTTAATAAATTCAAATACTTTCACATTTTGAAAAAGTTTGTGGCTGGAATACTTTCACACATTACTGCTTTAGACCCTCACAGCCAACCCCCCACCCCAGGAAGCTGGGCAGGATTAATAATCCCATTCTATGGATGAGAGAGGTGAGGCCCAGAATAGGAAAGCGACTTGCCCAAGATCACACAGGGAGGGTGGTTTCTCAGGCATTCATAGGAAGAAACCTGAATGAAGAGCTGAGAGTTTTAGGTTGCTTGTTGCTGATGTTTTCCAGCTTTTCACGAAGTGGGAGGGTATGATGCCTTCATGAAAAAGTATATGAAAGCCATTCCAACTGTGGTTACTGCGGGAAACCTCACCATCAAAGAAGAATGTTATATACCAAGAGCTGACTCCTTCCACATCTTCAGAGATCCCATCAAAGGAGACCTGCCATGGCCTGGGCTCATCTTTGGGTTGTCCATCCTTGCCCTGTGGTACTGGTGTACAGATCAGGTACCCATGCTGGATGTGTGGGGTGGACGGGGTGTTCCAGGTCTCTACAGGGATTCCTATCTAAGGTTTGTGGTGTTGGATACAGTAGCACAGGGCTCATATGGTCTGGGGTCACTGAACCTTGGGACAAGGGAATTCCAGACCAAGAACCAAGGACATGTGGGTGGGGAGCTGAAGGTAGCCAGAGAGCAATGAGAGGTCTCTGGCCTGCACCCCTCTCTTATGGGCTTTCCCTGGCAGGTCATTGTGCAACGCTGCCTCTCAGCCAAAAACATGTCTCATGTGAAGGCCGGCTGTATCTTATGTGGGTACATGAAGCTGCTGCCCATGTTCCTCATGGTGATGCCAGGAATGATCAGCCGCATCCTATACACAGGTGATGCCTCTTGCTGGACTCAGCAGCCACTTTGTCCCACTTTCCTCTCTCTGTGTCACTTCTAAAGCCCTGAAGCTCCCTGTTCTTTCTCTTCTGCCCTCTTCTTCTTTTCTTGCCACAATTACCAAACATTGTTTCCCTTTTACATAGCAAAAACTTGAGGTCACAGAACCTGTGGGGTTGTCTTCCCTGGTTCTTAACATTGACAATTACTTTAGACCCTTTTGTAAATTCTCTGAAGTCATGATACAATTCCAGCTGCAGCTTCTTCCAACTAATATTTGCTAACTTTTTGTTCAGTCTTCCTCAGGCTCTGGTGTGTGTAAGATGTCTTTAATGTCAAAGGACCCTGGCCAGTCTCTAATTGCTTATGCTCAGAACCCCGTTTCCTGGGCCATTTCTTTGAAGAGCCCTGAGACTTGTACTTTACTATCTAAGGTAATAGGGTCTTTTTGACCATTTTGTGGCTTCTCCAGCTTTGCCAGTTGCATTTTTTTGGTCAGCCATCATAGGTCCAAACTGTTTCTTGGAATATGAAATAATGGCAAAAAAGAGAGTGCCAAGGAGTAAAACTTTGGTGAGCTCCCAAAATGAAGACAGGACAGTCTGGGGGCACTTGCTGCCATTGGCTCATTTTAGGTATAATCCTATACTGGCTCACCTGTCATGAGAAAAATATTCGTAACTGAATAATTTATATTTGTATCTGAATAATTTATATTGTAATAGCAATATATAATTAAATTGTAAATTATATATTATATAATTTATATTGTACAAGACACACAAAAATATTTGAGATAATGCTATAATGAATAGGCGGTCTATGGAGCAGCACTAAATGATATAACTGTAGTAGGTACCTAATAAATGTCTGTTGATTTAATTCTAAAGAAGTTACTGGAATTTTCTCCAAGTCTCTAGATAATTTCCCCTTCCCATCTTAGGCTACTTTTTATCTTTCTCTAACACAGATTTTTCACATTTTGGAAGTACTACCCAACAACCCTCCCACTGAGGAATTCCCTCAGTCATCTGGGTGTTCAATCCTACTTGTAAAAATGCTGCTGCAAATAAACCTCAAATTAGGAGCCATGGGTCACTGTGATCATCAGGAGAAACAAGACAATAGTCACTGCTATGTTGTAGGGAGGCCTAGCTAAAATCTAAAGACTGTGCCCCCTCTCTATCCACCCTGAGCATTGCTTTATTTTCTCCCTCTTCTACCTAAGAACTCTTTTCCCCCAGTCATATCTGGGAGATGGTCATACCAGTAGGGCAGGGGCATGGCATTGTAGGGCTCAACTTGAAGTTGCACTCTCTGTGGAACCAATTCAGGGCCTTGGGCAGGAATGTCCTGTTTGAAGTCTTATTTTAAGAAAGTGAATCTTGGAAATACTTCCTTGATTTCTGCTTGCTGACATGGCTCTTCATCTTTTCCCAGAAAAAGTTGCCTGCACCGTCCCCTCAGAATGTAAGAAATATTGTGGTACTGAGGTTGGCTGTACAAATGTTGCTTACCCGACGTTGGTGGTGGAGCTCATGCCCAATGGTGAGAGTCATTTTTTCTGGCAAAGTCTTTCTTTGGAGGCTGATTTTGCTTCCTCTTTATGTAGATTTCTGTGGCCCTCTGGGGGAAAAGCCATTTCTGAGCTTGGGAGCCCAGTAGGGAAGGCTTTCCTCTGGGTGTCCTCAGCTTTTGAACACATCTTCCCTCATTGGAAAAGAGACATATGTTTAGGTTGAGCTCTATGAGATCTAGCATGTGTTCATCAGTCAGGTGTGGAAAAGAGGTGATCTGAAAATGCGCTAGTGAAAAACACAACTTTTCCATGCTCATCTAGAATATCTTTCAGAACTCTCCAACAGACATTAACATGAAAGTTTGAACAAGTGGAATTTTCCCTTGGAAATGCATTAATATTCCAAGGAAAAACCTGGAGGGAAAGGCAAAACAGTTTTAACTATAGAATGAGGAAGTTTTAAAAACTTCCCAAAGAGGCAACTTACGGAATGGGTGAAGATTTTATTTGCAAATGACACTACATATAAGGGGCTGGTATTCAAGATCTATAAAGAACTTCTCCGACTCAAGACACAAAAAACAAAGAATCAAATCAAAAAATGGGCAGAAGACATGAACAGACACTTCTCCAAATAAGACATACAAATGGCTAACAGACACATGAAAAAGATGTTTGGCATCATTAGCCATCAGGAAAATTCAAATCAAAACCACATTGAGATACCACCTTATAACATTTAGAATGGCAAAAATGAACAAGGCAAGAAATAGCAAATGTTGGAGAGGTTGTAGAGAAAGGGGAACCCTCTTACACTGTTGGTGGAATGCAAGTTGGTGCAGCCACTTTGGGAAACAGTGTGGAGGTTCCTCAAAAAGTTAAAAATAGAGCTACCCTTTGACCCAGCGATTGCACTACTTGGCATTTACCCCAAAGATGCAGATGTAGTGAAAAGAAGTGAAAAGACATGCACCCAATGTTCATAGCAGCAATGTCCAGAATAGCCAAACTGTGAAAGGAGACTAGATGCCCTTCAACAGGTGAATGGATAAAGAAGATGTGGTCCATATAAACGCTGGAATATTACTCAGCCATCAGAAAGGATGAATACCTAACATTTGCATCAACATGGATGGAACTGGAGGAGACTACACTAAGTGAAATAAGCAGAAGAAGACAATTATTATATGGTTTCATTTATTTGTGGAAAATAAGGAATAGCATGGAGGACATTAGGAGAAGGAAGGGAAAAATAAAGGGGAGGGTAACCAGAGGGGTAGATGAACCATGAGAGACTATGGACTCCGGGAAACAAACTGAGGGTTTTAGAGGGGAAGGGGGTGGGAAATGGGTTATCCCGGCGATGGATATTAAGGAGGACACATATTGCAATGAGCACTGGGTGTTATACACAAACAGTGAATCATGGAACATTACAGAAAAACATAATGATGCACTGTATGGTGACTTACATAACATAATAAAAAAATTAATAAAGAAATAAAATAAACAACAACAACAACAACAACAAAGGATGAGGAAGTTTGAGGCAGTAGATGGATGGGCCACAAGGGGGCTACAGAGAATGTGTTATCCTTGGAGTCCAGAATAGTTAGAGTTTTGGGGTAGGCCTTTAGGGTTACTGTTCATATTTCATGTCGAAGAAAAAAATCTAATTCTGGATCAAGGGATGTAAACCTCATTAGGTTGAGGGGCCTCAGGAGAATAAAAATTCAAAGGTACTGAACAGGAAAATTTGCAATAAACTTACAAAATTTTATCATTGAGAAGAAACCTAGAGACTAGTCAAACCTCTCCATTTTATAGTTAGGGGAAACTGAGACCTACAAAAGGAAAATGATTTTTTCCAAGGCCACACAGCAACTCAGTATCTGGCTTGCTTAACTGTGCTCAAGGCTGGAATTGAAGAATTTTTTTTTTTAACTGCAAACTGGATGTGTGACCTTGTGCAAACCATTTGCATTCAAATTCTATAAAAATGGGGGTAATCGTTAACAATTCCACTGAACCAGGCTGCTTATTAATTAAGGTTGCAATAAGAAGAGTCACATGGCTGGTTCTTTTAGAGTTCTGGTTTGGATTACACTGTAATTTATTTATGTTATTTTTCTTTCTCTCCTTTTTTTTAAGATTTAAAATTTTTTGGAATGATTTACTTATATTTATTTATTTAAAAAGGATTTTATTTATTTATTTTTCAGAGAGAGAAAGCACAAGCAGGGGGAATGGCAGGCAGAGGGAGAAACAGGTTCCCTACTGAGGGACCGTGATGTGGGACTCAGTACCAAGACCCCAGGATCATGACCTGAGTCAAAGGCAGGTGCTTAATGGACTGAGCCACTCAAGCGTCTCTACTAAGTTATTTTAGAGAAAGAACATGAGTGAATGGGGGAGGGGCAGTGGGAGAGAGAGAGAGAGACCCTTGAAGAAAACTCTGCTCAGCGCAGAGCCCCACATGGTGGTCAGTCCTAGGACCCTGAGATCATGACATGAGGCAAAACCAAGGAATCAAATGACAGAGCCACCCAAGTTCCCCTAAAAATTTTTTTTAAAGTAGGGGTGCCTGGGTGGCTCAGTGGGTTAAATCCTCTGCCTTCCGCTCAGGTCATGATCTCAGGGTCCTGGGATGGAGCCACATCGGGCTTTCTGCTCAGCAGGAGTTGAATTGTGTGCCTTAAGTGATGAATAGCTCAATAAAGTTTTCAATGGAGGAAAAAAAAAAAAAAGACAAGGCTGTATTCCCAGCTCTGACCCTAAGCAAGTTACGCCAACCTCTGGGCCTCACTTCTTGGTGTGTTGAATGGGGATAATACTACCCTTCCCAAATCAGAATAAGGGATTGTTCTTTTAAAATTTCTCCCAATCATGGCCAACATGGTTTGCTATAATCTCTATTACTACTTCCATACCAAGGAGAACATAAAGGTGTCCCTGCTAGGGAATTTTTGTTAGTATATTCAGAGGTGTGCAACCATCACCATAATTTTAGAAAACTTTTATCGTCTCCAAAAAATCCTGTACCTATTAACAATCACCCCATATTTTATCCCATCCCCTAGGCAACCACTGATCTACTCCCTCTCTCTGTGGATTTGCATAAACAGGGTTATACATAGTTGTTCTTTGTGTCTGACTTATTTCACTTAGAAGAATGCAAGGTTTATCTACATTATAGCATGCATTAGTACTTCACCCTTTTTATTGATAAATAATATTCCATTGCATGGATATATCACACTTCGTTTATCATCAGTTGATGAACATTGTCTTGTTTCTACTTTTTAGCTATAATAAATAATACTATTATGAACATTCATATTTGAGTTTTTAAAAAGATTTTTTTATTTATTTTAGAGGGAGAGAGAGTGGGGGGCACAGAGGAAGAAGGAGAGAGAGAATCCTAAGCAGAATCCCCGCTGAGCACGGAGCCCAATGAGGGGCTCAATCTCATGACTCTGAGTTAATGACCTGAGCCAAAATCAAGATCAACTGACTGAGTCATGTTCATGTCCAAGTTTTTATGTGAACATGTATTTTTATTTCTTTTGAACAGATACCTAGGAGAAAAATTAATGGGTCATATGATAATTGCATGTTTGATTTGAGAAACTGCTAGAGTATTTGCAACAGTGGCTGTGTCCTTTTACATTACTGCCATCAATGTATGAGGGTTCCTATTTCTCCACATCTTCACCCACACTTGTTGTTATTTGTCTTTCTTTTTTTTTTTTTTTAATTATAGCCACCCTAGTGGGTACAGAGTAGTATTTTATTGTGGTTTTTGGTTTGAATTTCCTTGATGTTGAGGATCTTTTCATGTGATTATTAGCCACTTGTTTATCTTCTTTGGAGAAGCTTCTATTCAAGTTCTTTGTCTATTTTTAATTGGATTATTTGTCTTTTTTTATTATTCAGTTATATGTGTCCTTTTATATTCTGTACACTAGACCCTTATTAGACATATGAATTGCTAGTATTTCTTTCCATTCTCTGGAGATTTCACTTTATTGAAAACATCATCTTTTGAATCATAGTTTGAATCTTTCTGCTATACCATGAATTTTTAAAATAAAAGACCTTATAAAACTCCTCTTAGATGGAATCACACATATATCATCAGCACCATCACCATTAACCACTATCACCCCATCACTACCACCACTACCACCACCATCATCATCATTCAGTTGCAAAGTATTTATTCATACATATTTTGTCCTTATCTCTTTGTTGACTGCTTTGGGCTTCCAGTATAATTTAAAGCCATAATTCATTCCTTGAAATACCTAGTCTTTCTAGAGAGACAAGTTGGAGAACATGGCATGGTTTTGGAAGGCAAACAAACCTTGAGTTCTCACAATTTCCAAGTACAAAAAGCTGAGTTGCTGTGTGTGCCACTCAGGTCCTCCTTCTCTTTCAGGACTGAGGGGCCTGATGCTGTCAGTCATGTTGGCCTCTCTGATGAGCTCCTTAACCTCCATCTTCAATAGTGCCAGCACCCTCTTCACCATGGACATCTACACTAAGATCCGGAAGGGAGCATCTGAGAAAGAGCTCATGATTGCAGGAAGGTAAGTGCAGCATCTTCTTGCCACCAACCATGAAAGTTTGAATGATCTGTACTATCCCTCAAGGTAGAGAAGACTGGTACATGCTTGGGTAGAATGGGAGTAACCTCTGTCATTAGTTATATTTATACTTTAGTGACATTTAACTTTAAATTGAGGATCATTGTGGTGCCTGGGTGGCAGATGGTTAAGCCTCTGCCCTTGGCTCATGTCATTATCTCCAGGTCTTGGGATCGAGCCCCATGTTGGGCTCCCAGCTTGGTGGAGACTCTGCTTCTCCCTCTCCCTCTGCTTCTCCCCCTGCTTGTGCTCTCTGTCTCTGCTTGTATCTCTCTCAAATGAATAAATAAATTAAAAAAAAAGAAAAATATAAATTGAAAATCGTCAAACAATGCCTGTCTGGAGTAAGATAGGACATCAGAAATCATCCAATTTAACCCTCAGTTTATCAACAAACAAAAGGAGGCTTGTCTTGCCTAAATCCATGTAGTCTGGACAGTGGCAGAAACAGGACTGGAATTCAGGCCAACTGAGTCCTTGTTCAAGGCCCTTTATGCTGCCCCATGTGGCCCTCCTCAGCCCTCTACGCTGTATGTCTTCACATGAGCCATCTTCAAGGCCCAGACGCCTCTGATGCCTTGACCATTTGACCATTTGCTGCAACATTTTTGCATTTGACTGTGAGGGTCAAGTGATATTGTGCTTGGGAACATGCTCTGTAAAGTCTAAAACACCACGCTATATGTACATTTATTATTTCTAAATGAGATAGTGGACAAAACAGAATACTGAAAGACGGAAGGGTTGATACATGGGTCAGAGGTACTCATAATCTTGACTATCCATCGAGCAGATGCTTGGAGAGAGGACTAACTAAAGCTCTGCTGTGTCTCTTTCTGGGGCTCTGGCAGGTCAACTTCCTCAGAGCAGAGGAATCAAGTCCCTGTGAGGTCAGTCAAGGAAAAGTTCCATAGTGAGTGTGGGAGGGGTATGGGCTGCCACCTCATAGGTCTCATCAATAAGATTAGGGCAAAGGAAGGAAAGGGGACAGGCCACTGTCAGGTGTTGAAACACCTGGCACTCAGGGAAGATCTAACCAGGCCCGAGTCTACACCTTTGCTTCACAGAAATCAGAACCATCACCCTGACTGGTTTTACCTTAGAAAGGACTTTACTGTTTCCTGTTTCTCCCCTCCTCCCTTTTATCTATAAGAGGCAACATGAGAAGAGAACCATTTTGTTGCTTTGCTCAGGGATGGCCCCCTTGGCTCTGAGATTGTTGGGGCCCACACTTTTTTATATCCCATGACTGCTGCCCTGGATTTTATCCCTGCCCTAGATGAACTTATAGAAAACAATTCCAGACTTTGCTATGGTGACTGTAAGAGCAATCAAGGGCTCAAAGAAGGAAGAGGTGAACATGGCATGCAGTAGTTGGGGAAAGCTCCTGGAATAGGGAGGCCTGACCCGAGGCCAAAATGATGGGTAGGATTTGGGTATATGGGGGCAGTGGAAGGGGATTCCAGAAGGAGAAATATATGAGTGAAAACACTGCTTTGTAAAGGTTAGTTTAAGATTGTTTCACCTTAAATTCATGTAAGGTAAAGGAATCATAGCCATCTTTCTAATTAAATCAAAAGCACAAGTAAGGGGAGCTTGTAAGGGAACCCTCCAATCTCTTCATGACTTGAAGTAAAATTCAAGAGGAGATCTGGAAATACTTGGTAGTGTCCCTTTCTTTCTAGACTGTTCCTTTATAAACTCTTTTTCGTTGTGGTCTTCACTTTATTATGAGGAAGAGGAGGAGGAGGGGAAGGAGGAGGAGAAGAAAATAAAAATTATGGTCTTTACTATTTATTGAGTACCTACTGTTTACTAGGTGTTTTACTATAGCTGATCCTTATTCTAGAATTGCAAGGTCAGTCATATTATTCCCAATTCACAGACAGAGAAATTGAGATTCAGAGAGGTTAAGCAAGGTATCCTATGTCACACATAGAAAAGAAAAATTTGAGTCCAGGACCCTTGTTCCTACATTCTACTACTTGTCAAAGTGTGATTCTCTTATGGCAGTTACTGGTTTAGGTTTGTCAAGTGCATTTCATTTATTCACAGGCACAGATGACTTTCTCATAGAGGCAGAATACAGATGGAAAAAAAGTCTCAAGAATGAATTTGCTAATTATTTTTTCTTGCCTATGGTAATATTATACACATACACACATAATATGTATATATAATATACAATAAATAAAATGATACACACACATATAAATATCTACATTTATGTGTATATATATTTGCTATATATATATAATATATATATACACACACATCTGACATATAGTAATCATATACATATGATACATATATATGTCATACATCTAACACATAGTAATATATATTTATTCATATAGAGCCATTTATTGACATTGTATTGGGGGGTTTTGATTTCAGGTTGTTCATCCTGGTGCTGATAGGTATCAGCATTGCTTGGGTACCCATTGTGCAGTCAGCACAAAGTGGGCAGCTCTTCGATTACATCCAGTCCATCACCAGTTACTTGGGACCACCCATTGCAGCTGTCTTCTTGCTTGCTATTTTCTGGAAGAGAGTCAATGAACCGGTAGGTTTCATTTTTGCATGTCCTGAAAAGCCACTCTGACACAGAAATTCCCACCTGGAGTGCCATATTCTGTATGGGAGGGATTCTATTTCCCAGAAATCTCAAGCAGAAATAGATGTGCTGCTGAAGGTTTTTATGGCAAAGTCTTCAGGGACTCTCCTGGGTATACATTCTTTTGGATTCACCTCTCCTCCTTGCTGCAGGTTCCAAACTCATTCCCAACTAATGATATACATGTTCCATCCAACCTGACTGACTTTGGCCTATTAACATGGCACTAGCCTGGAACTTTGTATCCCAGGCGAGCAGCTCCAGAGGAAGTCCTAGTACAGGCTCCCTCTAGTGGTTCCTTTAAAAAAAATTTCCTTTTTATTATTTATTTTTATTTTTATTTTTTTAAAAGTTCTATTCAGCCACTGTATGGCACATCATTAGTTTTTGATGTAGTGTTCCGTAATTCATTAGTTGCATGTAACACCCAGTGCTCATCACAACACGTGCCCTCCTTAATACTCATCACCTTGTTACTCCATCCTTTCACCCCCTTCTCCTTTGTAACCGTCAGTTTGTTTCCCAGGGTCTGTAGTCCCTCATGGTTCATCTCCCTCTCTGATTTCTCTCCCTTCTGATTTCCCTCCCTTCCCTTATGATCTTTTGTGCTTTTGTTTACATTCCACATATGAACAAAGCTATATGAGAATTGTCTTTTTCTGCTTGACTTATTTCACTTGACATAATCCCCTCTAGTTCCACCCATGTTGATGCAAATGGTGAGTATTCATCCTTTCTGATGGCTGAGTAATATTCCATTGTATATATGTACCTCTAGTGGTTCTGCAGTGAGCTTGGCTTTCCAGCCAGCACCTCTCAAGGCCCAGTGAAAAAATGATGTCCTGGTGCTCAAGCAATTTATATGCAAAACAACATAAGGTAGATAATAATTGAGGGATAAAACATAGCATAGAATATGAGAAGGATTCACGAAAGACTATATTAGCATGGGCTGAACTAGAGGGAAGAGAGGTTGTGCAAAGCAGAGAGAACAGCACCAGAACTTGGAGGCAGAAGTGAAAGGATAAGTGTGAGGATGAGGAGTTTGAAAGGCATTTCACATGACTTGAGAAGGAGTTTGTGTGTATGGGTTAATGGAAGAAATGCTAGACAAGAATGTTGAAGTTAAATTAGGAATGGCTCCTTTGAAAAAGCCAGGCCAGAGAGTTTGGATTTTCATTGGGGTGCTGTTACAGGTTTTGAAGCACCATGAAAAGGATGCCTTTGGATATGGCTTCTGACTGGGGTGTTGCTCACCTGTCTCTGTATTAATAAACCATCTGCACACTCAGGGAAGGCTGGGATCGAGTGGGGATAATAACTGTGTAGCCTATTTTCTGAAGCAGTATCAATGATGACATATTTTTGGTTAGAGACAACCCCTTTCTCCCAATAGGACAGAAACAAATATACACTTGGGAAATACCTCACTGGAATGACCCAGCTTTGAAGTGTAAAATTATGTGTGCTTCTCTTCACTCAACATTTGACATTAGGAACATAGTCCAGATCTGCTGGCAACACAAAACTGTATGCACAGATAAATACCCTTGAGAGATCAGAATTAAACCTGCAAGTGATCATGACTGGTTTGAGAAATAGTCACACTCTTAAGATTTATTTCAATAGGGATTGGCAGAAGCTGAGAGATTTCTAAAATACAAGTTAGTATAGTGTGGCTAGAAGCCCAACTGGGTATTGCTGTGGATTAAAAACAGATTGAGTTCAAAAAAGGACTGTGGCAGCCAAAAAATAAGGCTAAAAATTGGGATAGAGTGTAGTGGTTCTCAACTGGGGGAGATTTTGCCCTTCCCCAAGGGAACTTTTGGCGAAGTCTGGCAACATTTTTGATTGGCTTTGATTCAGAAAATGCTACTAGTATCTATTGTGTGGAGGCCAATACACAAGACAGCTCCCCTCATGCTCACCCCCCCAGTCCCAAAAGAATTATCCAGCCCAAATGTCACAGGTCTGAGGGTGAGAAGCCATTGCTAGAGTCTCTGGAGAGTAGCACATAGAGACTACAAAATGATTCTCAGGACTGGTCAGGGATTGTGTTTAATGAGGGGTGACTCATTAAAGTCTTGAGGAAAATGTCAAAATTTCCCAGATTTTTCAAGAGCCTCTTGAGAATAGAATTAAAGAACAGGAAGATAGTAATTGCCAAAAGAGAAGGACTGTATGTTGGCTAATTCAATTAAATAATTAATTGAAATTAAATGAAAATTGAAATTAAATTTAAAAAGTTTTATTTATTTATTTGTCAGAGAGAGAGAGAGAGCACACACAAGCAGGGGGAGAGCCAGGTAGAGAAGGCAAAGGGAAAAGCAGGCTTCTGGTGAGCAAGGGACCCAATGTGGGACTCAATGCCAGGACCCTGAGATCATGACCTGAGCCAAAAGTAGACACTAACCAGTAGACACTGACCCAGGCATCCTGCTAATTGAATTTAAATAAAAAGAAAAAAGCAAAAAATCAAAAGAGAAGAAAAACTTTATAGCAGATTTTATCAATACTATTCACACAAACTAAAGTAAAAAAATTTTTTTTTGAATGAATATGTGTGTGAGGAATGAATGGGGGACATCTTTTTCCTCATCTATCTATCACTTATCTATCTGTCATCTATCTATCTATCTATCTATCTATCATCTATCCTTTAGCATCTACTATCATCTATCTACCTAGCAGATACTTCCAGATGTTAGACAGAGAGCTGACAACACAAAGGGAATAAATCTTGGTTCCTTCCCTGGGCAAATTTCCAGTTCAGATGGGGAGACAGAGAAGTGATTGAGTGATTCCACAGAAGTGGAATTGGTGCTGGAATTGGAGGTGTGTCTATAGTGCAGTCACCACACGGAGGATGGGCCCACCCAATTCTGTCCTAGGAGAAGAGGGGACATTTAAACTAGAACAAGGTTACCAGGAAGGGAGGGGCTTGTGTTCTCCCAGATAAAGAGTGACCTGTACAAAGACCTAGGACATGAATACACTGATAATGGAACACACCTAGGATATAAAGTGCAGGGGTACCCATGGCTAGGAAAGTTCAAGGATCAACATTTGACATGAAAGCTCTTTTTTACCACCCTTCTATGAGCTCACTGTACTTTGTCACTGATCCTTTTAAAATGTGGCCTCTAGATTCAGACCTGGTTCTCTAGGTGAAGACTGACCGAAAAGGAAGCAAGAAGGAAATAAGGAAGGAAGGAAAGGAGGGAAGGGGTTAAAAAAAACCCTGAAAAATTGTATCCCAGTATTTTTAGTCTCTTAAAGGATTTCCATATTTCTAATATGCAAACCCAAAACTTAATGTAAAGACACATAATATAATCTTGTGTTTTCAAATTAAAAACAGTGACTTTGGATCTATAAAAGGGGCTAATGAAGAAAGTAGTATTTATATTTTGATGGAAACATTCTTTTCTCTTCCATCCCTCAAAGACCCAATTTGTTTTCAAAGACTTCAAGGAAAACAAATTATTTCACAAGTAATTACATTACCTTTGAATGTGCTTAAATCTGGAGGCTGATGGTGATAGCAGCTACAGGAACCAGAGTCAAATTATTTTTAAAATTAAAAATTAATTTTTGGAATTAAGGCTTTGGGTTGACACTAGACAAAGTTATTAGACACTGTTACCCCATTATATTATGAATCTTGTTTTATGACCCAGGTAAAATCATGTCACTGAAACATGATAAACACACCTTCAGGCTTGGCCTGACATCACACTCTTAGCCATATTCTGGATGCCAGCATTCCGGCTTCAGAAGGCCTGAAGCTATTATTTGTCTCATTTTTGTTCCTTTTCCTCTGTTTCCCAGGAATGCCCTGATGTTTTGTGTGTTTGGTGTTAATTAACCCAAGGTTTTCTTTCACAGGGAGCCTTTTGGGGACTGGTCATAGGATTTCTGGTTGGGGTGTCCCGTATGGTGACTGAATTTGCCTATGGAACTGGGAGCTGCATGCAGCCCAGCAACTGTCCCACGATTATCTGTGGTGTACACTACCTGTACTTTGCCATCATCCTCTTTGCCATATCTGTCATCGTCATCGTGGTTGTCTCTCTCTTCACCAAACCAATTCCAGATGTGCATGTGAGTATCCATTTTGGGAAATGTGTCCTGCCCTTGTTTCATGCTCATGCTACAACACCCACCTTGTTGCCCTTTCCCCAATTAAACATCTCACACTCACATGACTAAAACAGTCCTTGCTTACCATTGGTTTTACATAGAAAGACACAAGCCAGAAAACATGGTGTGCTAGCAAGGTGGTGTCAAGTGTGTGTCTTCTGTAGGAGTCCTCACCGCAGTTATTTCAGTCTAGGGGCTAATCTCTGGATCCTGCTCACCAAGTAACAGCACAGGTACAAGGGAATGAGATCACATGGGTGAGTACAGGGGCTAGCCTGGATCAGATGCTCATGTCTCAAATAGAAACTTAGATATCTTCTAGTAGACCCATGGCATACTTTCAGGGGTCTCAGCAAGGGACATAGTTACAAAAAAACCACACTCAGGGAAATATGAAGTATGATATACCCTTAATTTTTTCCCCAATTAACCCTCCAAACAATTATCCATATAATTTGAGGAATTTCAAACAATATCAAAGTCCAATTGATTCAAGACTCCAAAATAGCAAATATTCTTCTTTAATTCTAGATGTCATCCTTGGTTTAGGATTTATTCATAGCTCTCCCAATGCAGATGAAAATTTCCAATTATAGGTCACTTTTACCATAAACAATATAATCTGGGCATCCAACACAGCTAATACTTTACCTTTTTCAGGTTTCCAAGAACAGAGCTAGAGTTAACCCAAGATCATGTTAGTCCATAGAGAAAGAGAAGGGTTTTTTTTTGTTTTGTTTTGTTTTTTTAACTTTTTACTCATGCATATACAAATACAGGGACTTATGGAATCCCTAAGAGACCTTTGACATCCTTGCCAAATTTTCAAAACTGTACCTAATCTTAATGTCAAACAAAGACTGCTTTTATAGAAGAAGAATCACCATTATGTTTATTGGCTGAATCTGTCAATAGGCTTTCTTTGTGTTGTATTAACTGCTTCCTGATGTCTCAGTGTTTGCAAGTATTGCAGCCCTAAACACATTTAGCCCCAGGATTCCTCTTTTTTTTTTTTTTCCTTAAAGATGTTATTTATTTATTTAACAGAGAGAGACACAGAAGGAGAGGGAACACAAGCAGGGGTAGTGGAAGAGGGAGAAGCAGGATTCCTGCTGAGCAGGGAGCCTGATGCAAGGCTCCAAACTAGGACCCTGGGATCATGACCCGAGCTGAAGGCAGACAGCCAGGCGCCCCATCTGTGATTCCCCTTGAAGTAGAGAAAGCAACGTAGTCACCGAAGAGGGCATAGCTGGAATGAATACATTTCATTGACTTTCAGACTTCTTCAAGTTTCTGGTTTCATGTTCATAGAAATTGTCTCCAGTGCTACTCAATTCTAATATGGTTCATGATTCTACAGATTATCTTCTTATAATGTGACAAACACATGGTGCAAACTCTGCTCTTACACTTCTGGTCTGGAGAAATGGGTTTTTGGTCTTCTTTCTTAGCACCAATGCTAAAAGGAACAAATTTAGTCATCATATATAAGAAGAGTTCATTCATTCAAGACAGACATTTCTTTATTCAAGGCGATCTCTTAGTCTTTGAATATTATAATAAGGGTTTGTATATTCATGTATATAATTTACATTGAAGTGCTCAACATACTTAGAGATAATGTGGATATAAACTGTTATCTATGTTTTGGTCAGTACTGAGAGACCACGGTACCTTTTTATTGTTGTTGTTTGCATTTTTTAATAAGTTTCATTCAGCAAACACTGACCAAATCAATGTTTTAAAAGGGGCATCTCTAATATCCTCTGCATTCTAGAGCAATAACTAATCATCCACTGACCCTTTTAGGAAATGATGCACCTTTTCTTTTCTTGAGCACATCTCTTTTTTTCTCTCAGCTTCTTGGCACAAGACACTGTTTGGATCTTTCTGCCAACCTGTTTTGTTTTTTCCACAGCTCCACCGCCTGTGTTGGAGCCTGCGCAACAGCAAAGAGGAGCGTATTGACTTGGATGCAGGAGAGGAGGACTTTCAAGAAACCCCAGAAGAGACCATTGAAATAGGTGATTTGTGATTTAGAGCCTATCCCAAGCCCTAAAATGTTACTCCTCCAACAGAAAGACTACCTTACTGAAGTCTTTACAAAATGCCTACATCAAAGCTCAGATTTCTCTTTATGTGAGTGAGGTGGGGGATGAGATAGATAAATGGATTTTGGGAAGTTCACTCTGAGGCCTGGTCAAGAGGAATAGAGAGGTGCAGAATCTCCTCAACCTCCTTATACCTCATAGTTCACAGTGCTCTGTAAGTATGAGTGGTGTATTTTCTACCCTGACTTGACTGGGGCATGACATGGGAGAAGGAAAGAGTCAGAGCCTGTGAACTGAAAGCAGATGGAATCTAAGCTATGGTCAGTCTAGTGACACCAGGAGGATGGGTGAGAGGCTCGTTGGTGTCTTATATCCACATAAGATTTAGAAAATTAAATTTTTCTTAAGTCCAGTAAGATAATGCTTAGTCAGTGTTCAGAGATTTATCCTGATCATGGAGAAAAGTTTTCCTCAACTTATGTATTGGAACTTTTTCTCTTTACTTGGGACTGGTGCACACATGGAGGATGGTTGTGGAGATGTGTGATGTGCCAAGGTGTGGGAGCACAAGGTCATAGGTGCTTTATCTGCGGGACTAGAGGTCTCATCACTCCATCTGAAGGAAAGTACAGGTACAGCAGAATAAATTCTGAATATGGCCATCAGAAATATCAGAGAATCCTAGCTTTGGAAAGGGCCCTAAAGATCATTTATTCTTATAGTCCCATTTTACAGATACATAAATTGAGGTCAGAGCCTATTATCCCAGCTCTGATATAATCTGCTCTTGACCAAGACATTTTAGTTCTGAAACCTGTGACTCTGCATGTACTGGAAGGAACCTGGAGCCATAGGCAGTTGACCAGGTTGTTGAAAAAGATAGACCTTTTCTGCTTCCATGGAGCAGGGAGGCATCAATATGCTGCCTGCTTCTCCCACTTCCAAAAGTGTCTCCACACTGAGGGAGAATATAACAGATTTTAAATTTCATTTAGCATTATACACCATCCATGTTATTGCAAATGACAAAATTTTATTCTTTTTTATGGCTGAGTAATATTCCATGGCATCTATCATCTATCTATTTTTTATATATATATATATATATATATAGAGAGAGAGAGAGAGAGAGAGAGAGTATATATATTACATCTTCTTTATCTATTCATCTATCAATGAACTTGGGCTGCTTCCATAAATTGGCTATTGTAAATAATGCTTCAATAAACATATGAATAAGTTCTTCATATGTTTTGGATACTAACCTTTTATCAGATATGTCATTTACAAATATCTTCTCACATTCAGGAGGCTGTATTTTAGTTTTGTTGATTGTTTGCTGTGCAGAAGCTTTTTATTTTGATGTACTCCCAATAGTTTATTTTTGCTTCTGTTGCCCTTGCCTCAGGAGACATATCTAGAAAAATATTTCTATGGCTGATATCAGAGAAATAATTGCCTGTGCTCTCCTCAAGCATTTTTAGAGTTAAGGTCTCACAGTTAGGTCCTTAATTCATTTTGAGTTTATTTTTGTGTATGGTGTAAGAAAGTGGTCTAGTTTCATTCTTTTGCATGTAGCTGTCCAGTTTTCTCAACACTGCTTGTTGAAGAGATTCTTTTTCTCATTGCATATTTTTGCCTCCTTTGTTGAAGGTTAATTGTCCATATAATTGTGAGTTTATTTCTGGGCTTTCTTTTCCATTCAGTTGATCTATATGTCTGTCTCTGTGTCAATACCATATGTTTTGATTAGTACAGCTTTGTACTGTATCTTAAAATACAGAATTGTGATACCTTCAAGTTTGTTTGTGATCCTTTCAGTTTTTTTCTTCTTTTTCAAGTTTGCTTTGATTATGTGAGGTTTTTTGTGGTTCTATACAAATTTTAAGATTATTTGTTCTAGTTCTGTGAAAAATGCTGTTGGTATTTTGATAGCGGTTGCTTTGAGTAATATGGACATTTTAACAATATTTATTCTCCCAATCCATGAGCATGGAATATTTTTCCTTTTCTTTGTATTGTCTTCAATTTCTTTCACCAGTGCTTTATAGTTTTGAGAGTACAGGACTTTCATTTCCTTGATTAAATTTATTCCTAGGTATTTTATCATTTTTGGTGAAACTGTAATGTTTTCTTGATTTCTCTTTTTGCTACTTCATTTTTAGTATATAGAAATGCAATAGATTTCTGTATATTGATTTTGTATCCTACAACTTTACTGAACTCATTTATCAGTTCTAGTAGTTTTTTGGTGGAGTCCTTAGGATTTTCTACATATAGTACCATGTCATCTGCACATAGTGAAAGTTTAAGTTCTTCCTTACCAATTGGATGCTTTTTATATCTTTTAATTGTTTAATTGCTGTGGCTAGGACTTTCAATACTATGTTGAATAAAAGTGGTGAGAGTGGGCATCTTTTTCTTTTTCCTGACCTTAAGAGAAAGGCTCTCAATTTTTCTCTAGACTGTAATACTTGTAGGTTTTTCATATATGACCTTTATTAGGTTGATATGTTCCCTCTAAACTTGCCTTGTTGAGGGTTTAATCATGAATGGATGTTGCACTTTGCCAAATGTTTCCTCTGTTTCTTTGAAATGATCATATGGTTTTTGTTCTTTCTCTTTTTGATGTGTTATACTATGTTGATTGATTTGTGATAAATGAACCACCCTTGCATCCCAGGAATAAATTGCACTTAATCATGGTAATGATTTTTTAAAAATGTATTACTGGATTTGGTTTGCTAATATTTTGTTGAAGATTTTTTCATCTATGTTCGTAAGCATTATTGACCTGTAGTTCTCCTTTTTTGTGGTATTGTTATCTGGTTTTGGTGTCAGGATGATACTGGTCTCACAGAATGAGTTTGAAAGCTTTATTTCCTCTTTTGTTTTTTGGAACAGTTTGAGAAGACTGGGTATTGACTCTTTTTAAAATGTTTGGTAAAATTTACCTGTGAAGCTCTTGGTCCTTGACTTTTGTTTTTTGGGAGTTTTTTGATTACTGATTCAATTTTATTGCTTATAATTGGTCTATACAAATTTTCTTTTTCTCCCTGATTCAGTTTTGGGAGTTCTATGTTTCTATGGAGGTTTATCCATTTCTTCTAGGTTGTTCAATTTTTTGGCATATATTTTTTCATAATATTCTCTTATAATCCTTTGTATTTCTGTGATGTGGGTTGTTATTTTCCCTCTTTCATTTTTGATTTTGTAGTCTTGAGTCCTCTGTCTGTCTTTATCTCTTCTTTGATGAGTCTGGCTAAGGTTGACCTATTCATTGTTTATAGCATGTTATTTAACCTCCATGTGTTTGTGTTTTTTTCCAGATTTTTTTCTTGTGGTTGATTTCTAGTTTCATAGCATTGTGTTAAAATGGATGTATGATATGAACTTTTTTTGTTGCTGTTGGGGCTTATTTTGTGGTTTAATATTCTCGAGAATGTTCCATTTGCACTTGAGAAGAGTGTGTATCCTGCTATTTTAGGATAAATGTTTTGAATATGTCTATTAGATTCACTTGGTCCATGTGTCATTTAAAGCCACCAGTTCCTTGTTGATTTTCTGCTTGGGTGATCTGTCCATTAATGTAAGTGGGGTGTTAAAGTCCTCTACTATTATTGTATTGCCACCAATTACTTCTTTTTTTTTTTTTTTAAAGATTTTTATTTATTTATTTGACAGAGAGAGATCACAAGTAGGCAGAGAGGCAGGCAGAGAGAGAGGAAGGGCGGGGCGGGGGGAAGCAGGCTCCCTGCTGAGCAGAGAGCCCGATGCGGGACTTGATCCCAGGACCCTGAGATCATGACCTGAGCCGAAGGCAGCGGCTTAACCCACTGAGCCACCCAGGCACCCCCACCAATTACTTCTTTTATGTTTGTTATTAGCTGCTTTGTGTATTTGGGTGCTCCCAGGTTGGGTTCATAATTATTTACAATTGTTATATCTCTTGTTGGATTGTTCCCTTTATGATTATATAGTGCCCTTTTTTGTCTCTTGTAATATCCTTTGTTTTAAAGTCAGTTTTTTCCAATGTAAGTACTACTACTCTGGCTTTCTTTTCACTTCCATTTGCATGATTAAATCTTTTCCATCCCTTCACTTTCAATCTGCCTGTGTCTTTCAGTCTGAAATGAGTCTCTTGTGGCAGCTTACAGATGGGTCTTGCTTTTTTATCCATTCTGCCACCCCATGTCTTTTGACTGGAGTACTTAGTCCATTTACAGTCGAAGTAAGTATTGATAGGTATGCACTTATTTCCATTTTGTTACTTGTTTTGTGGTTGTTTTTGTAGTTCTTCTCTGTTTCTTTCTTCTCTTGTTCTCTTCTCTCATGGTTTGTTGGCTTTCTTTAGCAATATAGTTGGAATCCTTTTTCTTTATTTTTTTGCATACCTATTACTGGTTTTTGATTCGTGGTTACCGTTACGTTTGTATATTACATTTTATGCCTATATAGTCTACATTAAATAATGGTTGCTTAAACTTGAACCCAGTCTTTATTCCTCTCCACATGTTTCAAGTATATGGTGTCCTACCCTTTTATTTTGTGAATCTCTTGACTGATTTTTATAAATATACTTATTTTTATTGTTTTTTGTGTTTCTTATTTTTCTTACTCTTACTTTCTTTTCCACTCAAAGAGTGCCCTTTAACATTTCTGGTTTTGTGGTCATGAATTCCTTTAACTTTTGATTATCTGGGAAACCCTTTATCAATTCTGAATGATGGTCTTGCTGAATAGAATAGTCTTATCTGTAAGTTTTTTTTCCCTCTCAGCACTTTGGGTATATCATGTCACTCCCTTTGAGCCTGAAAGTTTCTGCTGAAAAATTAGCTGATAGCCTTATGGGGTTTCCCTTGTACATAGCTGTTTTGTTTTATTCATTATTACTATTATTATTATTTTGCTGCTTTAAAAATTATCTCTTGACCATGGACTCTGAGAAACAAACTGAGGGTTTGGAGGGGAGG